CCGGGCAATAAAGACTCTCAAGGTTGCTCGGACGTTTGCTGTTTTTCTTCTGCATCTGGATGTTCAGGTCCTTTGTTCGTGGTCACATCTTGATATTCGTGGCAGCGATCCACAGCTCTTAAACATGACTCATCTGCAAAGCTGGGCCTGGGGAAGAAGCGAGCGATCCCTGGATCCCATGTCGTGCATCCCCAAGTCAGGTGAAGATACCCGCCGTCTTCAACACGTCCACAGTCCTTAAAATCTCCATGATCCAAAAGGTTTTCCTGTTTGACCAATGCTGGCCTCCCCTTTTCCTGGCTTTTCTCTGCCAAACTAAAGCTCTTGCGAGATGCCCGCACCTTCGGCTTCTTGGAAGCGAGACGCACGCGGGTCCGCTGCGCGGAGAGTTGGAAACTTAGGTTCCCCAAGCTCCAGGCTCCTCAGAGTACCACGGTGTCCTAAAACCAAGTACCACTCCGAGAAAAAAGAACTATAAAATGGTGGATGGAGGTTCTTCCTATTCTTCCTGTCTTGAGTCTCGCGGTCATCTCCGAGTCTTTGGGGGCTCATGATGGTGCAAACCAGAAGAAGTTCATAGGACCTGATCTTTTGCCAAGCTTGAACATCCTGGAGCTTCTCCCCCTTGATCAACATCCCGATGTTCACATGACCTTTACTCCCGGAAGTCATGTGGACCGTTGATGACTCAAAAAAAACGCTACCGGAATGGCTGGTCTGAATATGGGAGGTTGTATTCATCAACCGAGTTGATGGGTGTTTCATGTTCGTCTTTCCCACTGGCTTCACCTTCCAGTCTCGGCTTCGCCCCCCTCCGCTGAGGACGTCGGCCCTCGGCTTCAGCCCTCAGGGCTCAGGATGCCACGAGGATCCGGGGGCCCGTCTGGGTCGCCGCCTGGGACGCGGCGTGGAGGGGCGACGGTGGGAAGCTGCGGCCATCTGCACCGATGCGGCCAGCACTTGGCGCCGAAGTGCTAAGAGATGGAAAAGTGAATGCCCGTTTTGAGACTCAAGAGATCCTGAATGGCATTTGGAGTAATGATACTAATGGGACATTGCTTCTATCTTACGGAAGGCTCTTGAAGCTTCAGAAACTGATCAGTCACCATCTCCTTGTGGGGTCTCCCTGTGAGTTTCTCATGAAGGCAAAAGCATCTGCAAGCGTCCGTGGGTGTGACCGAAACCGTCAAACCCAAAAGACTCCCCAACCAGAAACAACCAACGGTTGCTCCACGACTCAGAACTTACTTAGGGGGTCTGGATGCGAATTAATCCCATGCTACATTGATCATCCACCCAAACGCATCACAAAACTACTCGTCCATGTCTTCAGAAAACAGGTCTCCCGGTTCTACCGATCACTGAAGACAGTGCTTGAAGCAGAAGCACTGAAGAACACCACGCGTTCGCCTGCATACTTTTACACTTAAAAAATAGACCTTATCGACGTAGAATCTAGATGATCACAAATCCAAAGTGCTTCAACACACGAGCCCACACATCTAAGGTGCCATTCATTGCTCAAAGCGCCATCTTCACCTCTGTGACACCACGAGTTGATACGAGTTGTAGGATCCCCCATGGGCCGGCTTCCCGGCGCCGAGCCACATTGGGCGCTTCGCAGCACAGGGCTGCGGCCAGGTTCGGGGATTGGAACTCCTGGTCCAGGTCCAAGGCGAAGGCGTTGCGCACCTGGTAGCGAAGAAGCGTTGCGAAGGTCGATGTGGATGTAGAGACACGAAATACTGTCGACATATGTTTAAGAGAACGACAATGTTTGATGTAGATTGGGGTCACGGTCACTGTATGTCTATGTGTGTGCGAGAAATATGATATATTATATATTGTATATAATACAGGGTTTATAGAAAATAGCAACAATAATACCGCATATTGTGAGGAGGAGAAGGAGGGAGGGAGGGAGGGAGGGAGAGGGAGAGAGGGAGAGAGAGAGAGAGAGACAGAGAGAGACAGAGAGAGACAGAGAGAGACAGAGAGAGAGAGGGAGAGAGAGAGAGAGAGAATTGCTGAGATGGGACGATTCAAGATGACGATGGAAAAGACGCCAACCAAGATGGGATGAAAAAAATATAGAACGCAAACCAAGAAAAGCAATGCGGACCAGGGTGAAATCGAACCACCAAAGTCAGTGTGCAACTCTTTGCGACAGCAAAGAAATGCCTCCTCCAATGGGCAGCTGGTCCAGTGAGTAAGGAAAAGTAGAAATACCACCTCGTCGTCGAGCTAAGGAGCGGGGCCAAAAGCCACACATGCGCGCGAAAAAAACACTCACCTCGGCAAATACCATGGAGTCAGCAAGACGCTGACATCAGGTGGTCCTGCTCGGCCAAGAACCTCTTCTGCCACGACTCGCGCTGTCCCTAGCAGCTAGCAGGCTCTAAGCCCTAAAAATGTGTCATATTGGCTTGGCAGCTAGTTCTCGCGAGTCGCGCAGGGAAAACCAAGTCACATCCTCGCGGATGGCGTTGTCGCGCATGCGCTGTGCCAGCGCTCGGCGGTAGACGTTGTTGTGATGAAACCTGGGAGCTGACGCGAATCGGCCGTGACACGGCTTGCAAAGAATTCCGTTCGCACGTGACGGTGGCCAAGCTGGGTTCGGTGGGCCCCCGTCCCTGAAGTTTGGATGAAATTACGTGGTTCCAGGACTCATTGCAACCCTCCAACAGCTCTCTGCTTCTTCAATTTTCTCCTGGTGTTTGCCTCCGAGCAGCAAGCGTCCGGTGCGCGCGAAGTCCGGCGACATCACGTGGGCAAAGAAGACCCACTCCACCTAAAACAACATCTGACGGTGGCGCACAAAACCTGGAAAATAGATGGTGGCCATCTTTAAAGTAAGAATAGCTGAGCTGAGCCTATGAATCTCCATCCCCAAAGTCACCCAGCATGTTCGCCACCACCGGGCAAAGGGCACACCCTACATTCATAAAACATGCCACACCCCTCATCGGGTCGCCATCCAACCCCCTTCCTTCCGGAAGCTACAGGGGATGCGACCGTTCCGGCCTCCTCATCAGGTGCCAAGCCCAAGGGTGGCAGCCCTGCTTTGCTCAGCGGCGCCAAGTAAACATCTAGAAGCTCCTGGAGGTGTCAATCCTAAGTTAGTCTGACCAGTAGGGTGTCTGAGGGAAGGTTCGACTCAGGAGTATTAGTATTCATGATGAATCATTGCAGTTGAGTGCTGGCAAAAATTACTGGGGATGTTCAGCGGAGAGTTTGCTTGCTTCGTCTCTCCGTTTCCAAGCTAGAAGTTTCATAACAAAAAATATCAAAAAATCACCTGCCATGCAGCACCACCCCTTGCCCTCCCGATCCCAACCACCCAACCACGACGCGTCCTTGCAGCTGCCATCGCTTGTTTGATAGGAGAAGCCTGGAGGCGTTGTGCAGCAGGTGGCTCCGGGCCAAGTCAATAGTTGGGGTGCAAAGATCTGTTCGGGCGTGGCTCCCTGAATTTTCGAATTGTATGTCATCCAATGCGTGTAGACCTATCCACTTCGGTACAGTCAGCACTACCAGTGCTGCAGCTTGTGAAAAAAATGAAAACCGGTGATGTTCACCGTTGACCCCCCCCCACGGTCACCGTGGCGATGTTCCGTGTGGGATTCCAAGAAGGATAAGAGGATAAGAAGGCAAGAGGTGACGTCGTGCAAAAGACCCGGCCCACACATCTTGGACTCGTCAACTCCATTGACCCAAAATGGACGAAACATGGACAGAACCGGCCACTCTCATTCACCACTTGCCCCCACGTTTGCTTGAAACTCCAACCTGCAGCTCTCCTGCAGCAAGCAGTCACCAAATTCCCAGCTCTCCACCACTCCACTCCCTGCTCTACCCTCCCACAAGCTCCCACAAGCTTCTCCCTGGACCGTCCGGAACCCACCGACCGGGGCACCCACAACCAACCCGCTCTCCGAGGCGCAGTGCTGCAGCTCTCCGAGCTCCGAGGCCTCCAAGCCCAGCTGCTCCAGCAGCGCCCGCTCCGCGCTCTGCGTGGAGACCTGCAGAGGCCGCGCGCGAGAGAGAAGGGACGCGGGGGACCCACAGCAAACACAACAATGAAGCAGCGTCTTCGATTCCGTATGACGGGTCTCCATATTGACACTCTTGGAAATCCAGCGAGGGTCGCCATCCTGTATTGGCACCCTTTCTGGGTGATAAATCATGAACAAACATCGTACCTACTAGTAACTTAGCATACCCTGTCAGCCTCCGTGGAATTCGGAAAGCCTCAGTGGAAGAGGATCCTCGGCTGCCCTTTGGATGGCTGCCACACCCTGTCCATCATCCTGTTTTGTTCCCCGTTGGTGCCATGTCCGATGCTAGAGCGCCTCTGCGGCATGGCCATCGCCGTCACCATAGCAGTGGATCTCGGTGTGGCAACTGGGGCCCCACAAGCCTTGCCGTAGAGATTGGCAGAGCTAGCCCTCAAGGCTGTTGGCTTAAGGCTGCCAGTTGTGAAGTGGTTGTGCAGCTTGGCCAAAACTAGAGTACAAATAGTACAGTATGTTAATAGAATTACGGGATTTGAGGCAAGAGTTCTGGGATTCTAGGAGGTTGCGGTTGTATGAGCATGTATGGAGTACATTACAAAACCACTGATAGGCAACCTCTAACTAAATCCCAGTCCAGCCGAACCCACCAGAGTCAAGTTTCCTCCACGTTCTTGTAGCCGGGTTGGGGCACGCCTCCGGGTAAATCTTCCCCCCCTCTGGCTGTTCTGTCCTAAAGCAGGGCAGTCAAAAAGCACTAAGGGCCTAGGGCCCTGAAGTTGTTGTCGAATACCATGAGTCCTGCCTTGGAACTGTGCAGTGAATCGTTGAGAACCTCATCCCAAGGTTAGAGGTTTAGCAGCTGTTTTGGCGCCATGGGACGATCTCATTTGGAGATCGTCCTCCCGCATGAGCCAACACCAAGAACTCAACACAAGAAAAAACTCTACTCTAGCCTTCTTGCTTGATTGACATGATGCTCTCCTTTCAAGAGGAGCTAGCAGCTGCCCGGAACTCCAGCACCTGGCCCTCCCCAAGAGCTAGGCCCCACCGACCGCGGCATCGGACGCGGAAGCTGGGCGCACCTGGGTGCTTCGCGCCCTCCGGGCTCCAGCGCCGCAGGAGCAACGCACCGGTGCGCGGCACGCAGAGCCACACGTGCACCGCGCGGTGAAGCCTCGGGACCGGACCGGTGGGGCCGAGGTCGGGTGGGAGACGCCTGGGTCGCGCGGGGTCGTTTGGGATGGTGTTGGGGTGCTTGAGCTTGGATTCTGTTTTCGAATTAAGATGAATTATAATACTTTAGATGCTAGGCCCCCCCTGAGGGGGTGTCTATGAATTGCCCCTGAAAGGTTGAGGGGTCACGGGTGTCCATTAGTCACTCCTTGTGGGTTCTCACAATTGCATATATTGTTGTTCCAAGCGTGTGAGCCACGACACAAAGAGATACTAAACGATAAACAACAAAATCTGATACCCAAATAGATTCCTGATAACCAATTAGTTGGCAACTGAATATACAGCATTAGCTCAATCATTACCTTTACGCTTTTTAATCCATTATGCTCAATTTAACTTATTAGATCTTATTAGTATATAGGCTAGGATAGTATATTATAGGCTTGTAGAGTACTTCAATAGTGAATCCCCTTGAATCCTCATGACATCACCTTTTTTCTCCGCGCGTGAAAACCACACCGCGCGGTGAAAACCAGCGTGCTGCGTGCTGCCGAGCAGCAGGCCCATCGCCAGGCACTGCTCCAGAGTTCGTGGCTCACACAGGACCTGCAGAGGGGTTCAGAAGAGCGCAGCATTGTGGCCAGCCGGCCAGCCTCTCTTTTCCTGAGAAAGAGCAGCAAAGTAAACTTTTGGGTGGATGATCAAATGGCTTTGAAAGGTTTGTTGGGTCTTGTTCCCCAACTTATTTAGGGATGGTGAAAGACCCTCCCAAAACTGTACAGACTCATAGACCACGTCTCTCCAGGAAAAGCCACAACTCGCTGTGTTCTGAGCCATCCCAAGCTCCGGCCACAGCTTCAGTTGGGTTGACGAGCTTGGAACTCTTCATTTGGCGGTGCTCCTAGTAGCGTCCTTGCTCCTAGTAGCGATGCCAGGAGCCCCTAATTAGTAGCTTCTTGTTACTAGTAGTAAGAATGCTCCTAGTAGTCCGGCCAGGAGCCCCTAGTAGCGTCCTTGCTCCTAGTAGCGGTGCTATCTCACTTCCCCAGCTTGGGCCTTAAGTCTGCTCCCCCAATCCTCTTCGCCTGTTCCGCGGTGTGTGTCGCGCGCACGGAACGTCTCGCACGGAACCTGCCTGGCCATCCATGTCGAGGACCTCCACGTAGCGCTCCGTAGCGGGGACTCCACCTGAGGGCACCCATCATGCCATATCATGCCATATCATGCCAGCAAGAAAGGAGTTACAGCTCGCTGGCCGTTGATGGAAGAGTGGTTTCAACATTGCACCTGGCAGACAAAAAGGCATGTGTTGGTTGTTCTTGAGGCTTTCCTTATCTTAACCCTAGGCTTCCAACAACCATTAAACAACATAGGCCATAGGCTTTACCGAATCAACTAAGGATTCTACTACAAAAACCAGCTCAACCATGGTTTTAATGGTCGAACGGGAGTCGAAGGTCCAAGCCCGTTGGTCCTCCACAAAGCTCGCTCGTGGTTCGTTTTCAGGGTCCGCGCGGTTCGGGGGTCAACCAAGAAACCATGTGCTTTCCACCAGCAATGCCAGGAAGAAGTCTTCGTCTTCACACCACTCTTCACCACTTCAGTTAGAGGGACCAGCCACACCCAAAACACCACGACCTCATCACCAATGCCGCCAGCCTCCCAAAATGCAACCTCAAACCCCTCTGCATTCGCTTCCCTCATCTGCTTCCGCCGTCCCGACCTTCTGAGCCCCCGGACGCCGCGGCTCGCAGCGGCGCAAGTTGGGGGGGCTGGTGAGGCCCGACAACGTGGTGCACACGTCGAGACTCGGTGCGTGGGGCGGTGCGGCGGCAGCGAAAGCAACCCCACCCAGGCGCTCAGGTGTGGCCCAGCCATTGAGATTCATAGCGCGCAACTAGGGGTTTTACACTACAAAACCAGGTTCCAGCATGGTTGTTGAAATGGTCTTGGAAGTCTAGACCCCATTTGGTGGTGGTTGTTTTCCCATTTTCCGCATGTCCACTCAAACATCCCTGTTTGGGAACAGTGCGACGATTGCATACGTTTTCAGCCAGGAAAAGCCACAGGGTCTTGGCTCAGGGTCTTTCGACCAACACGCGGTTCCGCCACTGCAAAGTAGCCCTTGCTAAGTCGAATGAGATGGGACAACCCACAGGTGTCTACGCCTGCCCAGAGAACTGGCCCAGCTTTCTGACTTGCGCAACATCTATAGTGAGTACTCACAGCTAGACTGGAGTTTCAAACCAAGTTTGGGCGGGAAGGATCCAACGATCCACCCTTGACCATCGAAAACCAGTTCCGACCTTCCAAACCTTCCTTCCGCCGCCGAGTGGCCCGCAGGGCAACGCGAAGGCGCGTTCCGCCTCCCGGCCGCTGAGCAGGCCAGCATCGTCGTGGCTGCGCCGCGCCTGGCCCCGCCGGCGGACGTCGTGAGAGCAGCGCAAGAGCAGGTATTGCGGGGGGTGAAGGTATTGGGCCTATAGAGGCATTGACTGACAAGGACAAACACCAGGAAGTAGAAAACTGTTGGCACTGGAATCTGTTCTTCCTCGAAAGAAGCACACAGGTCAGAAGGGCCTAGCAAAACTTCAAGAACTCACTGTGAAGTTCCCTTACATACTTACCCACAGAAAATTCTGTTCTGGAGGGTTGAGCCATATTTCTGTGCCGTCCCCTCCAAGATCTTCGGGCGACCAAACGCCCCGGCCGGCGCCATCATGTGAACCAACCACCGACCGCCCCCAGCTCCGGCGACGCGCCGACCGACCCCCCTGGGCACCAGCTCCGCACGGAGCGCCAGCAGAACCAAAGTCTGAAAGGCCCAACGGACTCCTGGAGGACCCACGACCGCGCTCGGTGGGGGGAGGTCGCGCGGCACTGTCCTTGCGGGGCACTCGAGATTCCGGGGGCCCGGAGGGGTTGCCTTTTGCACAGTGGAACTCGGTGAGAAGGGTAGAGAGCCCCCAGCCACAAACAAATCCCGATCTGGTCGCAAGACCAGCGCGGGCCCTTTTTGGGTCGTGTTCGCATGCAGCAAAGTTCTTGCCCAGAGTTTTCTCTCCAGGAGTGTGACAAGAAGAATCCAGCACCCCACATCGCAACCAATCACATCAAAACCCTCATTTGTTGTCATGGAATCTTAGTGTATATTGCACATTCTCTGAAACCCGTGACAAACGAGGTGCTTCTAGGGAGCCATCATAATGGCACACCCGCGCAACTGAGCCGAGCTCGGTTGCTTAAGCCGAGCCCTCTCGGCGGTGGTGGGCACTTCGTCCGGCACCGCCCGGGCTGCAGGGTTCCCCATGGGTTCTTGCCTTTGACGGTCATGATGCACAGGTGTTTTCTCCACTTTCGTAATTCTTTGTGTTTCATCTCTTGATGTTCGACTCTCCTTCGTTCCACATCATGCCAAACCCCCGGAAGAGTCCGGTGTTTTCCGTTCCCCGTGAAAAAGAAAAAGGAACGTCACGCTGTCACAGCCTCTTAGATACAGTATCATCTCTGATTTCAAGCACCGCCAGCTCACGACACCGAAGCAAACTTCGCCAGTGGCCAGTGAAAGAAACGCCCGACCCGGAGCGTGGCATCGGAACCCGGGAGCGGTGCCTCCCTTCCACCGCTCGCTTTTCCGAGTTCACGTGGAGTTCCGATGCATCCGGGGGGGGCCATTCCAACTCTGAGAGTGGACTCTGGGAAGGGTGAAGCTCGTGAGAAGCAAGTAAGAAGCATATTATGATTCAGAGTGCCTGACAAAGCCCCCTGGAGCGGCTGACTCTGACCCTTAGGGGTTCAGTCACGCAGCCGAAGGGATTCCGAAGGTCGTGTCTGTCTACCGAACGCTCACGTTCATTCCATCGGATTAGCACCAATTGAGTCCATCCTCGTTACTATGCCTAGAACCCATATGACCTCTGCTTTGATAAGAAAAAACCATGTGTTTAACTCCAACTTAGGTTCTAGGTATATATAGCCCCCCCTGAGATCCACCTTTGATGCTCTTTCCAAGACATGTACATGATAAACTCGCTGCACACGTCAAGTTAGTATGCAATGAGCGTATGCAACTGTTACAGGCAGATTGTGCCAGCATACACACGTGCAGTGGCAAAGGGACGCAGATTTGCATTGGATGCAAGAAAGCGGTTTTGGAGAAGGCACGCATTGGAAATGAAGAAACTAAGTGTAGATCTTGTAGAGGAAAAGTGGCCAGAAGTCATTCAAATCCAACGGAGGAAGCATACAAAGCGAAGACAGGGACATATGTTAGAACAGAAATAGAAGTTTGCCCATTTCGTTGGCTCCTGAGCCATGGCCCGCTAGGACTCTGCCATGAACCATTTGACCACTGAACCAGTTGCAGTCCAGCTGAACTATCCCGCACCAGTGCTCCCAGTGTAGCTTTCCTTTTTCAACCTTTTTGTCGAAGGTCGCCGCGTCCGCTTCTACATACAT